AGCTAGAGCCAGAGTAACTCTACAGGCTCCAGAGAGAAGGGATGAAGAAGCTACCAAACCATACAGCTTCAAGCCCTGTCGAGATCTTAGAGTCACAGGAGGACTCACTGTCTCTCTACAGTCAAGACCAATCACTAAAATAGAGATGAGAAGTAACTCCATTTCCCGCCATGCTTGCTTCCTTCTCCTCTCTCAGCTCAGGCACAATGACCTTGGGCAGGTGACCTACCTGCCATTTTCTATTGCACTTTATCTGAGTAGGACTCTGCCTCCCTGAAGAACTAGGTCCTTAGTTGTCATTGTATTTACAGAGTCTAACTCAGTACCTAATATTTAATATATATATTATATACATATACAAACCATATATTACATGCATTAATATATTATATTCATATATAAACTATATAAATATTGTCTTAAGAAAGAAGAAGGGAGAAAAGAAAAATTGTAAAGGAGGCTTGATTTTAGGAGTTGACAGAATATATATATATATATATATATATAAAATATATATATATATCAATACAACAGCAATTTTTCAGCATTCAATAAAACTCAATACTAGCTTTTTGTGAATATCAAATATTACCTTGACAGATTAAAAAAATCTCTTTGAAGACACTAGTTCTCTGAGAAGAAATAAAATCACATTATTACAAATACTTGTACCAACTACCTCTCTCCTTCATTACAGTTCCATATTTGACTACATTTGATTCCTGTTCTGCTATGACACTAAGAATGCCACAGGGTAGAGACACTATTTTTGTTCATTATTGCATTTTCAGGGTCCAGAGATGGTGTTCAATAAACATTTTTTTTGGTTGATTAACTAAATAAATTGATTATCATAAGACAGGTCAAAGAAGTTAATCTGAGTCAATCAATATATTTTATAGACTTCGCTTTCTATATATTTTATTGTAGCAAAAATAAGACTTTAACTATGATTGCATAAATCTATGAATTAACCTTGTTGTCCTCACTAGTTATATAGGTCAGGGGGAAATTTAGGTATACAGATAAAAGCATTGTAGAACAAAATCCAATGGTATGGACCTTCTCATTGCTTCCTATGCTTTTAGCCAACCACAATTAATGGTATTTTCCTGTGCCTACTATAGAGATTTATAGATTTTAACTAGTTTAGGTAAACAAATCTTTATAAAATAGATGAGTCCTTAAAAGTATCACTGTATGGGGGGGGGGGAGGCTGGGAAGGGATGTGAAGGGTAAACAAAGGAGAAGGCTGCAATGCTTGATAAGAAATGTACGCATTATCCTGCCCATGTAATTATAACCCCTCTGTACAGTATGTTCACAAAAAATATAAATTAAAATTTAAAAAAAGTATCACTGTATAGATCCAGAGATTGAAGGTAATATTAGTCAATAATATCAGTACTAACAGAAATACTACTAATCCAGGAAAATGACAAAGTAATGTTTTTTCTGTTACTAATAATAATTCAGACTCAGCCACATTATAACTTCAAAATAATGGCTACCAATTATAGGCTACCTAACAAGTATTTGAAAACCATTTTTAAAACATGAACCTATCCCTTTCAAGGTAAAAATGAAATTTTAATGTTGAGCAAAAGAGTTATTGCATTTTGAAAACAATAATGTATTTACAGCTTAAAACTACCATTTTTTAAAGTAGATATGCTGAGATGCTTCTACAGTTGTATGACTTGGGGCCTAAAAAATTATGTAAGTTAGCTGTATGCTAGTTGACTTACTCTTATAATCCTAACCTATTTAGGAGGCTGAGACTTTGAGGATCACCGTTTGAAGCCAGCCCAAGCAAGAAAAGTCTGTGAGATTTCATCTCCAATTAACCACCAAAATGCCAGGCTCGACTTGTGTCTTAAGCAGCAGAGTGCCAGCTATGAGCAAGAAGCCAAATAAGAGCATGTGACCTTGAGTTCAAACCCCAGTACTGACATACACACACAAAATGATGTAAATATACAAATAACAAAATAGTTTATATGTATACTTTTAAACTTCCTAGTAGAATTTTCTACCTAGATTTGAAAATGCCACCCAAAGAGTAACGGGATTATGAACTTACATTAAAAAAATTCTGATTTAAAAGTGTAACATCTTTCTATTACTCTATAAAAACTAGTATAGATAGGATTTATTAGCTGGGTTTCAGCCCAAACTGGCTGGAATATAACTGGCATATAAGACTGAAAAATAATATTATTTAATAACCTCAGCTCACATCCTCTAATTATTTTCAGAAAAATATAACTTTTTCTTTTCTGATAACCATTCAAATCAAGTATCAAAATACACAGGACTTAGAACCAAACCTCTGAATTTCTATATCACAAGTTGATAAAGTAAAATCTTAATAGTTGAGTTGTTATAACCAAAATTAAAATTATCAAAATGGCAAACTCTGATAACTAAAATTAAAATACTTAACAATTTTACTATTATTTTTATTTTCTTTAGAATATAAATAATAGTGAAGTAGTACATATTGAAATATTTTAAATGCAGATAAATAAAAAATCAGATTTGAAATATCAACAATATCTTTAGGGCAGCACATGAGGGGAAATGTTTGAAGGCTAACGTAGTCTTTTTAAAAGTATTTGTTATTACAATAATAACAGAGAGAGTCTGCTAAGTTCTTCTATCTTTGAAGAGAGTCTGCTAAGTTCTTCTATCTTTGAATCTCTTATCATGGAACATAGTTATAATTTAAAAGGCTTTCGGCCAAGCAAGTCTTTCTATTCTATCGGGGCAAGGGTAACATCAACACAGAGCCATGAGTAGTACTGAACCCATAACTATTGAAATGCTTAAAATTTTTCTGCAGGCCAGGGACAGGTTAGAAAATCTAAGAATATTATCCTGACATTTCAATTTATGATTCTAAAGTTATTTTTAAAAGCTTAGTAACATGGCAGTATACAAAATGAAAAGTAGACTATAGCTTTCCTACTTACTTACTACTTGAGTAAATCCATTCCTCATGGCCATCACTTAGGTTGAGAGTATGATTTACTTATATGTGTATACTGTGTGCACATGCACATACACACATAAATATCTATTGATGAATATATACATATAGGGAGTTATATTACTTTTGTATTATTTTTATTTTACAAAAATAGGCTCAACTCACAGTGTTCTACAATTGGCTTCTTGTACCTAACACTTGATGACTACCCTAAGAGGATAGCCCACATGGATTCTGTCCCTATCACAGATCTATAGGGAATGATATCATATGGGCAAACCATAGGTTTTAAGCCATTCTTTTATTGGTAGACATTAGCAATGTCTCTATGTTCTGCTTTTACAATAAGGCAACAATGAACATTTCTGTGTACTTTGTGTATTTCTCTAAGTAGGACAGACTCCTGAAAACAGATTTTTTGGGAAAGAATAGGTACATTTAATTTTTGATTGGTATTATAGAATGACTATACTAAACCAAACAATAAGAGTCAGCTACTCAAAATAAATGAATTCAATCTTTCCTCATCAAATCTCCTCACAGATACCTACATTCAGAAAAAGATTTTAGCAAATCCCACAATTTGTATATAAAGACACAAAGGTCTCTAAGGAAATATCACCCTATACACCAGCAGGAGCTCAGGTGGGGTTACTACTAAAATGCAGGACTGTAACTCAACTGACTTCATATATATCATGTATTCCATAGGTCACAATAACAAGTATGAAACAGGACTAATTATCTCCTTTTCTTTTCCTTCCCTTCTTTCTCATCAAGAAGAGAACAAAAAGAGGCAAAAAGTTCAGGAAAGATGCAAGCAGAGGAAGATCCTCAAACTTGGTGGACTAATGGGCACCCAGAATTGAAGGTGCCCTAAGTTCATCTGCACAGTGAGCAAGTGTGGTGGAAACAACTCTGACACGGGATAACCTTGGCCAAAACCTTCTGCAGCCTCAGTGGATTGTATGAAAACTTTCTTGGTTCTAAATATCACCATGTGGCATCCAAAATGAATGCCAGTGTGAAACCAAATTCTGAAGAGAAATATCAGAAAAGAACTAACATCCCACAATGAAGAAACATCTTCAAAGAAGATGTTGTTATAAAAATACCACAAAAGTACTTTCCAACAAATTCCAGACCTAAAAGTAAAGCTTTAAAATGAGGCTCCAAGCACAAAGTCCTGAATCCATTTTCTGTGCCTAAAGAGGCCCATTTAGAGGAAGTACTTCTAATCAGATAACACTGTCTTTGCTTGACCAGACCTATGGGATCCAGTAAGGAAAAAAGAATAGGAAAGGGACCTCTGTAACTTTTGCTATTAGAATGGGGTAGAACAGGAGCCAGTAATTTCTTTTTTTTTTTTTTTTTGGGGGGGGGGGGGGTGGGTCCGGTCATGGGGCCTGAACTCTGGGCCTGGGAGCTGTCCCTCAGCTCTTCAGCTCAAGGCTAGAGCTCTACCACTTGAGCTACAGCGCCACTTCCGGCTTTTTTCTTTTTGCTTATGTGGTGCTGAGGAATTGAACCCAGGGCCTCAGGCATGCAAGGCAAGCGCTCTACCACTGAGCCACCTTCCCAGCCCCAGGAGCCAGTAACTTCTGCAAAGACCACAGGGTAAATGTCTTCAGTTCTGCAGGCCACACTGTCTCTGCTGCAGCTACTCTGCATGCCATACAAAGTACCATGAGCAATAAATAAGGGAATTACCATGGCTGGCTCCACTGCAACATGATGAACACTGTCTTAGACTACTCATGAAAATTAGCTATCTACTACTGTTACTACTACTAATTTTTTTTCTAACTATGTGAAAATCTTAGCACATGGACTATATATTAGCAGGTACTAGACTAAATAGCTTGCCAATTTCTCACACAGAAGCACTTAATTTTCAATCTGAACATTGGTGGAAGAAGGAAAATCTGAGCCCAGCCCCTAGAAAAGATAGGGAAGATGGCCAAAGACAAGGAAGGGTAGCTGTTTTCAAACCATTTCAAGCATTTACCTTAAGTCTCTTCTCTTGTTAAACTCCTCAAATGGAATTGTCCAGGGCAGGGTTTGAGGGAGACATTCTAGAACTTCTGAAGAAAAATCGGAGAAATCCACGCCATACTCAGTTAGGATCCCCTCGGTTTCAGGTTCAATTTCACCAGCCTGACCAAGACTTTTAGCCAGTTGCCTATGGGCAAAATAGAGAACAATGGGGTTAATAAATCTCTCTCTTCTCTGAAATGAGGGGTATTAGCAAAGTCTACCCTCCAACAGCAGAAATATCATCCCCAGTGCATAGGGGAAGCAAGCAGAAAAAACAATGACACGCTTGTCCAGTGAAGTCAATGACTACTGTGTAATTTTATCTTTCTTAAGTAATTCTGACCAAGACTAGAGTGGATGTTCATGTTTATTTACAATTCTATTAGTTTTTAACCTGTAAATGTAAAAATATTTGATCTAAACAAAAAAATGTTTACATGGAGAAGGCAGAAAATCTAGAAATGCAGAGAGAAGAAAATTACAGTATCTGTAATCTAGTCATGCAGTAACCTGCCACTCACATTTTAGGAACTAGCCCTTTAAAAATAAGATTACATTTACTAGGACAGATCTAACATTATGATCAAAGATTCAACTTTTTCACAGGCAAGTATCAATCATCTGTGAATATTATATATATATGCATATACATATAATTGACAGTTTTCTCAAAAGTATTTTCATGCCACATATAGATTATAATCTTAAAATTTCATGCTGAATACAGATAGCAAGTAGGAACTGTAATAAGATCCTTGAAATAGCTGCCTTTGTAAAGGGTGCTGGGGCAATCAAAGATGAGCAAATCCTCTATAGCACATGTCTACTTATCTACCCAGGCAAGCCCAGGAATCCCTTTGCCCAGTCTGCAAGAATTTAGCTCTACCATTAGGACCTTCTCTGGGGCCATTCCATTTCTAAGAAGTTTCTGTTTCTCTATAAAGGTAGGTGTGTGCCTGGTAGAGTTTTTAGGTACTCGGTGGTAAATGAACTTGAGAGTTTAGTTGCCTAATAGACAGACATTTAACAAATTTCAGCCTCTCACTTTGCTATGGAAAGCAATAGTGGTAGCAGCAGGCTGGCCCTATCTCTCACACACTAACCATGAAAAGCAGCCACAATCCACATACTCACTCTGTTCCAGGAGCCAGTGCATTGACTGGTGCTCCTAAAAAACCAGTGCTTTCTCAAACCTGAGTAGTGGTCCCCAAGAAAGCACATTACAATGCCAATGACAGCAGAAGTATGAGGGTAAAAAAATTATAGAAAGTTATCAGGAAAATATTTAAATATTTGGAAATTAATGTATAGATTAAGGAGAGAATGAAAAGATTAAGAAATCTTTTTTAGCTGAATGAAAACATAATATAGCAACATTTGTTTGATGCGTCAAGGAAATTAGGAGGCTAGACTGGGCTAGCCAGCAAGACCATGTTAAAAAAAAAAAAGGAGGTAAGGAAGGAAAGGAAAAGAGAAGAAGCAGAAAGGAAAGAGGAGGGGAGAGAGGGAGAGAGAAGAGAAAGGAAAAGAGAGGGGAGAAGCAGGAGCAGATGGGGAAAAGGAGGGAGAGGAAAGGAAAAAGGGTGGGAGAAGACAGAAGGAGAGAGAGGAGAGGAGAAAGGGAGGGAAAGAAGGAGAAGGGGGGGAGGGAAAGAGATAAAGGAAAGTGCCAAACCAATGCTCAAAGCCTCTACCTTAAATAACAGAGAGAGCAGCAAATTAAATTCCATGTAAGTAGTAGGAGGGGAAAAAATAAAGACCAGGAATCAGAGGACAGAACTTTTTTAAAAAATAAGAAAAGAGAATAAAATAGACAAATTCTAGTCATTCTGCAAGAAAAACAAGGAAACAAAGACACAAAGTTTGAGTATCAGGAATGAGAGCAGGGTATAATTACTCATCCTATAAGCATTAAAAGGATAAGAAGGGAGTTACAAGTGACTTCAAGACAATTAATTCAATATATTGGATCCAACAGGGAAATTCTTTGAAAGATAAAAATTGTCTACGATTATTAAATATGACTAATATCTGAGTAGTCATATATCTATTAAAGAAATTGAATTTAGCCGGGTGCCGGTGGCTCACACCTGTAATTCTAGCTACTCAAGAGGCTGAGATCTGAGGATCGCGGTTCAAAGCCAGCCCGGACAGGAAAGTCTGTGAAACACTTATCTCCAATAAACCGCCAGAAAGCCAGAAGTGGCACTGTAGATCAAGTGGTAGAGCCCTAGCCTTGAGCTGAAGAGCTGAGGGACAGCGCTCAGGCCCAGAGTTCAAGGCCCACGACCAACAAAAAAAAAAAAAAGAAAAAGAAATTGAATTCAGTCTAAAACCTTTTTACAAAGACAGCTCCTCCAGGTCTAGATGGTTTCACTGATGAATTTTACCAAATACTTAAGACAAAGGATATCAGTGTTATATAAAAAGGATAGACACAATAACCCTTTAAAAAAATCAATCAATAGAATTCACTATAACAATCAACAAACACATCATCTCAAAAAGAAGAAAAATAATTATGATAAAAGGGCTCAGCAAATGATTAATGAACAGAAACGTCCTCAACTTGATTCAAGTCCTAGTGAAAGTCCGAGCTAATATCAAACTGAATGATGAAAGGCTAGAATAGAGCAACTGTAATTCTCATCATAGAAATCAGCATCCCCCTACAAAGGATGACTGGCCTCTCTATAAGAAAAAACCCTCTCTATGAAAACTAGAAGTCAATACACTCTGTATAACTGAAACTCTGCCTCCACTCAGAACCCTGAATGTAAAGATAATGACACAGACAACTGAGAGGCTCAGGATTCATTCATGGCAGCAAGAATAGCTCTAGTGACCATACTGACTTCAGCAGTGACTGTGCAGATTATATTTTACAAGGACAGTGGTAGGATCCATTGGTATCATAGCCAAACAACCATGCAAAAAGATGAGGGTTGGGCTTTCCTGGCTCTCAGAGTTCCTTTAGCTCACTCATCTTTCTCAGGATATTCAAGCCTCTCACTATTTCTGTGAGTCTTCAATGTCTTCCAACAAATTCCTTTCCCAATCAGAGCCAGTTTCTCTTGCTTGTAACCAAGAGTTTAGACAGTTAAAGATTCATATCCTACAAATTTCTGAAATGCTAAATATTTTCAGAGATGACTAAAATATTACTGTATTCACTAGAACAAAGTTTCTATTGAAGATTTGGGGGTGACAGGAATTCAACTACTTAGAATAATGTTGTTTAGCTTAAACAAAAAGAACTTTAGTGAAGACAGACAATAATTTTGCATTTAAAAATTGGTATTTTTAAAATTAATGAGGCCTCACTTGCTCCCTAGCCATTTAACCTACTAATTATTTTCACAAGTTTCTGAGGTTCTATTTCCTGCCTTCATCTCCTAACATCAAGGCATTTGGATGTTTAGGTTCTTGGTTTCAAAAACAAGAAACCAACTTTGGCTGAAAGAAGCTTTTGAGAAGGCTATAAAAGGCTTACAACAACCACAAAAAGATATGGAAATAAATCTCCAGATTCTTGATTGTAGACTAAGAATGAAACTCAGGGACTTTTATCAAAAAGGAAAAGAGAAAATGAAAAGAAGAAAAAATAAAGGAAAGGTATCTTGAATCTCTTGCAGCTATGAGGCTAAGGCAGAAAATAAAATTTCAAACACTATAAATCATTCAACTTAGGATGAGACAGAATAAGATTCAAAGAGTCAGACCATGGATAAGATACATAGGAAAACACAGAAAGGTCTCGGTCTACTATCATGAGCTATAAGTTTATTTACAATAGCAGTATATCCATTTGAAAGTAAGATCTCTGAAAAAACAATATATAAAAATTTTCTAATATAACCAAGGTTCACTTCGGCTGAGAAAAAATGGCCTGATAAGCAGAGGCTACAAGTTGAGCCAGATGGATAGCGACCTGAATGATGGATGATCAGAGGACCGTGAAAAGGATACCCAGGGAAAAGATGTGTGGATGCAACTGGTCTAGACCCAATATATTTCTATTGCATGAGAATATGAAAAATTATTTCCACCATGAAGGCAGGATGGGCCTGCCTTATAATGTTAATGAATCTCCCTCCCGTATCACTGAAGTGATTCATCTGTGGACATAGAAAAAGAAAACACAATATTAGGAAATGAGTCCCACAACACTAGCTTCTTACCAATGATGATCTGGGTCCAACCATGGCAAGACACCAGTGTGCCAGCAGCAGCAACCAATGCTGATAATCTGATAGAAAACCATTCCAGGAGGACCTTCTACTATTTGATAACATATTGTGTACAGTGAGCTTCTATGATGAAGATAATATAGACTTCCTTCATTTAAATTAAGAGATATTTTGATAATTCTAGGTTTGAGAAAGCTATTTTCATTTTTCTATATACCTTGCTTATATTAGTACCATAATCCACACATTTGAAAATACCTTATAAGTCATTATGTTATCAGTTATTATATCATCTCAGTCAACCTTGTTTGTAATAAGGGCCTCAGCTAATAGAAGAAACAAAGCTCAAAGAATTCACCAACTGGAATGTTGTATTCAGGAAACACCACCACATAAGATTACAATGTTGTCCTTCTCCAGGAGACAATGATGCTTTATATTTACAGGAACCAGGTCAAGGGAACTGAGGATTTAAGTATTGGGCCTTTCAACATCACATTTAAGATCTACTTAAGGAAAAGTCCTGTCCTCATAGTGCTTCCCTCTATAGCTGACACTGAGAATACCATAATAATAATTTTTCTGAATTGGAAAATGAGACCATAAGAACCCAACTGTCATAAAAAAGCATACTACCTAACTTCCTCCCTGAAAACACATATTTGCAATCAGCAATTTCAAGTGTAATAATGTAAAGAGGTTTCAAGCATCCACTGGGGGTCCTGGAATATATCCTATGCCAATAAGGAGGCCCTGCTGTACTTAAAGATAGGAGAAAAGATTACTACTATCCAAATGTTCTATTAAAAGAACTCCTGAATATAAGGAGGAACAAGCTGAGTGCCAGTGACTCATGCCTGTAATCCTAGCTACTCAGCAGGCTGAGATCCGAGGATCATGGTTCAAAGCCAGACCGGGCAGGAAAAGCCGTGAAACTTTTATCTCCAATAAACCA